TTCTCTACTGCAAAATACTATCACTTATCACTTTAAAGTTGGGTTTTGTATCCTTTATGTTTTGGAATATTTTAAATATTTTTAAATAATTGATAAAATTGCTTGTGATCCTTTTCAGTATGTTTGGATTGAGGGGAGGGGAAGGAAAGGAAAGTAAAGAAAAGTAAAGGAAACAAAACCCCCCTCCCCTTGTTTGGATAAATTTTTAATTTAAAGAAAGGGAAAGAGGTGGAAACCAAGTAACATTTGGTTTTCCCTGTAAACTCAATTTTTTTAATACCTCAATTTGGAAGAAAAGCTAGGGAAAGGAAAGTTGAAATTTTTTTTTTATAAAAAGATTATTATATCTATCTTTTTATGAATACTAAAAACCTAATAGAAAAACTCAAGCAGATCACAATCATCCTATAATTTTTTCAAAGCTATCTCTTTTTTCAAGTAAGTTTCACATATCTCTTCCAATATAAAAACCATTGATATAGTAGCAATTGTGAGGCCAGATAAGATAGCAAACATATCATGATCGATGAGTGCTCTAAAATTACAGGCAATGAAAGGTTATAATTGGAAAAAATTATTATAATGAATCATTTCCTTTCTTTTTCACTCTTTATCCAAACAATGGTTGTTAGAATTTCTTTCCTTTCCTTTCCTTTATTAATTTTAATTATCCAAACAAAGGGTTACATGTATCCTTTCCTTTCCTTAAAAAACTTTCATTTCCTTTCCTTTCCTTTTCTTTGTTAATATTTATCCAAACATAGCGTTATGTTTTGGAATATTTTAAATATTTGTAAATAATTGATAAAATTGCTTGTGAGAGTGCTAGTATCTTCCTTTCTTTTTTCTTTGGGAACATATGAGTGAGACTCTTTTACACTTAAAAAGATTGTTTAAACACAAAAATACCAATCCTTGGATCACTTGAACTCATCTTGTTTGTTGTAAACTATTTTCTTTTTGGTGATTCTGCTTTTTGTGAACTTGGAAAGGCATAAAATAGGTGGAATCATCAGACTTGTTCCTGTTTAGGATTGATTAACATGTGGTTGGGGAGCTAATGAATTAGTGATATCTGGTCAAGGGTTTGTAAATGTGTGCAATGGTTTGTGGAATATAAAGGTTGAAGAAATAAGAGATCTGCTATCCATATGTTTGCTATGAAATTGGAGTGAAAACATAGAAATTAAGGTCATGTTTGGTGCATAGGATAATAAATAGGATAGAATGATAATCATTATATATTATATGTGGTTTGTATCTAAAGAAAGGGATAGAGCTACAAGGATGATTAATCCTCCCAAAATTGATAAGATTATTTTTAATCTATGGGATTGAACTTACATGTGCCATTATATTGTTAAATATTATATCAATAATTTAATCGTATAAATTTTAAGGAAGGATAATTTTAACCAATAAATAAATTATCCTATCCTAATTTTTACACACATCAAACACAAGATAGGATGACATTATTTAATCTAATCCTATTCATAATATCATCTTATCCTATCCAACCATAATCTTGTATACCAAACACATCCTAAGATCCTTTGCTTAGAAGAGCTAAAAATTTTGATAAAACTTTTATCAAGTTGATTTTTTATCATTTTAAGAGGGAAAAAACCAAAAATGTTCCTGTCTCTTACTCAATTAGAAGTTTATGCTAAGCTTTGTTTTATTTACCTTTTGGGGAGGGAGTAGGCTATTATACATGGTCTTTGTTATAAGTGCTACTTTGTCCCGATGAAAACAAAATCTTTTTCCTCTCTAAACAAATTGAAGTGTTATTTCTTTTTCATATCTTTTTAGTTTGCCAGATATTTCGAGTGTCTGATACAAACACTGACGGACTGATCTTCTATTATTGGGATTATTCGGTCCTTATCTTTTGTAGAATGATTGAGATGTCGCAGAGTTTATCTGTTCGTCTTTCTTATCATATTTTTGAAATTAACATAATTTTTTCTTTTGTTGTAGGTCCCAACATATGCTTTAGAATGCTAGTGACCAAAAAAGCCCGTTCAGTTGACTAGTAGCTCGGCTTCGATGGTTGGTTTCCTCCTTTCTCATTTTCTAAAAGAATGAAAATATTTCAACCAAATCTCTCTCTCTGATACATCTCTGAAATTTTGAAAATGTTCCTTTTAGATTTTGCTTGATTCAACTAAGTAGATCAGTTCAAGTATAAGACAAAAATTTGAGAAAAAATAGCCCTTATTTTGTTTCACATTTAATATCTTTCACTCTGTTAACATTTCTGGATAACATTGAGGAGTGAAGTTATGAAAAGTGAATGCATTGAGGTATTTTACTAAAATTTATACCCATTAAGAAATAAAAGTGAACAAAAACAAAGTTGATTTATACTGATCAACTTAGGTTCTTTTTGTTTTATGCTTTTTTCAGTAGAAAGCAAAAAGTAAAAAAAAAAAAAATTAAAATGAACCAAAGATGAGACAAATAACAAAAAGCAAAAGGTAAAAACATAAATCATACGGAGCATTAGTTATTCATTTGATCTATATTTGCTTGTTTGCATCAGATTTGATCCCTAGCCATGTTTCTAAGTAATAAAACATTTGCTATTTCTGTGTCATTATGCTTCAGGATAACATCTTGGCATTCTGCTTGCGAATTTTTTGCAGCTAGTCGCTGAATGATGATTATTCAATCCCATATGGCTGTGAACTACTCATACACTTCTTTCCTCTGTAAAGTTTCTCACCTGGTTTTTAGATGCAAGCACAATCTTGTATTTCTATTTGTTTTTCCTTAGATATGTGTGTTTACATGGTAGAAATTGATCTAACTTGAACAAGGCAAGTGGAGATAAGAATGATGGTGTTGTATCTACTTGTTCAGGTTTAAATGGAAAATTGTTGGAAACGCTCTTGGGTTTGATGTCTTGTTTATTGACATAAACAGATTTGGTGAATATGATTTAGTTTCTAGATTTGCACCTTTGTTGTAATGAATTCTAATTCTTATTCAGATGCAGAGTCTGTTTTTGCTCATGATTGATGGTGCTCAGTGAAGTGAAAGAACATGGTACATGACTAGTATCAGCTTCTGCAATCTTCAAGACAATAAATTCAACAAGGTAAAACATGTTCCACAAGAGTTCAGCTAACAGTGCCATTATTTCTCTTCAACCCTTAACTCCACTTGTAACTTGACCGTGATTATGCTGAATCAAATCTTGCCTCCTAAAATCCCATTGCAAGACAGCAATACAGGACTAACCTTGAAGGCAGCTACAGAAACTATCCATCCATTCCTCTTCTTTTTTCTTCTTTCTCTTCTCTTCTTCCGTCTTTATCACAAATCCTAATCCATTAAAACTCTTATCTTATACATTGTGAAAATGTACACCCAAAATGTAAAAAAAAAATTCAATCCCATATATACGATGTGTTTTACATTGTATAAATGTTAACATAGAATGTAAAAAAAAAAAAAAAAAATCAATCCCATACACAGTATATTTTTTAAAACATATCACTTGCAATAATTATACTTCAATTAATCAATTAAATTTTAGAGTTACATAGAATCTATAAAAATATTATGTAAAATCTATTCTTATAAGTAATGATTTCTTGTATAATTTTATATTATGATTAGATAATTATAAGATTATAGTAAAAAAAATTATAATTAAAATATTATTTTTTTAAATTTTTATCAAATTTATATATAATTTTTACTAAAATTTTAAATTATATAATTTTCGTTTTTTTTAATCATTTTCTTTAAAATTACCAAATTTATTTTTGGATGTTAAAAAATGTTGTATCAGTCTCGTATCTATGCAAATTCCTTAATGATTGTGAAGATGAATAAATCTACACTTCACATATATGATTGATATGGGATGATTTGAGAGAGTCTGACCGGGATTGTTCTTGACGACATTGAACTTATTATTCTTTCAGCAGGCATAACCTGATGATCATATAAGAGTGTTTAGGTTATCAGAAAAAACTATTAATTAAACCATTTTGTGAAGGTGAAATCTTTAGGATTAAGCCATTTTTGGGTTTTTCTCCAAATTGCATAGCTTATTTATATTGCAATCTAAGAATTACTTTCAAGACACAAAAATCTAATAATAATTAATATAAAATTGAAGGATACAATCATGCAAAGTCTAGTTCCATATAATCCATCGCAAACAATTTCCCACAACGAAAATAAATGCATATATATATATATATATTCCTGGTTAATGGCTTCGATGCATATAGAGAAGTTCAAATTCGACTAAATTGAAGCAGCATTAAGAAATTTTAAACCCTAAAAAGTGAAAGGAAGAGAAGAGAAGATGGGAACTTTGGGGTTATTTTAGTTGATGTCGGAGTCATCAAAATCATCTTCGAAGTTGTTGAAGAAATCGGCATCGGCGAGCTTGTTGTCGATAGAGATGGCGCCCTCACCGAAGTTCTCGAGTGGATCAACGTCGTCGACTTCCATGGCTGAGCCTTGATCGTCTGGGTCCACCATGAATCCATCGGCGTTGGCCTCATCTCTCTTTTCAGCTTCTAGTTATTTCTTTTCATTTTAGACACAAAAACGATGTCGCTTTTGCTATTTAAACAAACCCTTTCACAAAACGCAGCGCTTCCCCCCCCCCCCCCCTTCTTTTTCATTTTTTCATTGCCAGAGCTTTCCTCTTTAATTGGAAAGATTAAAAAAAAAAAAATCCAAAATTTATAAAAAAAAATCAAAAAAAAAAATTGAGGCACTAAAATTTACCTTCTAAAAATTCATTTAAAAGTGATTTTTAAAAATTTCTATAGATCTCTTCCACTTTATCTCATATCTTCATTATAAAATACAAAACTAAAAAATATTATTTTATTTAATTATAATATATTTTATTTTTTATATATTAATAATATCTATATATTTTACTGCTATTTTTTTATTTTTAATTATTATTTTTATTTCATCAAAATGTTCTCAAATAAAAAACATTTATTCAAATAATAAAATTGCCTTTGGCCAAAAAAATAATAAACTTGCAAATGCTAGTATTTTGAATTCATGCTTCATTTCTTTTTTTTTTTTTTTAATTTAAAAAATTTCCCCTTCATTTCCTATTTACTAGTTTCTACTACCGCTTGAAACGATGCCGTAAGACAATTGCCGAGCTATTTTCTCCATTGAAATCACATTATTGATAACGTAAAAACGTGGCAAAATGGGAGGGAAGGAAACAAGGAAGCTCCCAAGGAAATGGAAATGGCAGCAACTCAACGATGTCCTTGTTCTTCCTTCATCTTCTTCACCCAACAACAAAAGACCAACCTCCATAATCTCATTCATTTCCCATTTTGCTCTCTTTCTCACCCTCATTTACGCCGTCGTTTCAGCTCATATGCAGCCAGAGATAGCAGCAGCACTAGTAGAAGAAGAAGAAGCAGCAGCAAGTGGGACTCTAATGCTGAGACAATTCGTGCCAAAGGTTTCAACACCCAAAACGACGACGACGGTGACGAGGATGATGATTATGATGAAGAAACGGCAAGTTCTGGGATTTTGGATGAAGCTATTGATACCATTTGGATTTTGAAGGTACAATCTTTTCTTTGCTTTCTTTAAAATAAAAAATAGATATATTTTTAAAGTTAGAATTTAGAATTTTGGGTTTGGAATATCATATAGGATTTGAATAAATTAGATGATTTTTGGGTGCTTAAATGCTTACAAGTTAAGCAAAGTTAATACTTTTTAGTTGGATTGGATTAAATTTGATGCATTTTTTTAAATATATATTTATCCCATCTTATTATTTCTTTTTATCAATGGAATTAGCTTAATACATCAATAATTTTGCCATTGTTCAATGCAGGTTTTCAAATCCTTTGGTTGGACGCTACCGCCAATTTTACTTTCCTTGTTATTTGCTACGGGCCCAAAAGCTTTCCTCATGGCACTATCACTTCCACTTGGGCAGTTAGCCATAACGTTGGCCTACGAAAAGTTATTGGGAAGGTCTCAAAGCAAGCAGAAGCGTAAGGCCAGGGTGAGGAAAAAAACCAAAAGTACATCTAGGAGCACTCTGAAAAAAGTTAAAATGGAGGAAGAGGTACAACAAGACCAAAAGAGCAGAAAGGGGACGAAGGATTATCAATCATGGGTAGTTACTGATGATGGTTCTGTCAATGAAGGTGGAACCAGCCTTGGTGGGTGGGATGAACATGAGCTAGATGGAATGGGGATCAATGAGAATGTCATCAACAATGGCAAGTGGCTCAAAAAGGACAACAAAGGAGAAGGGCAAGTTGAGTATGAAAGAAAGTGGAAGTGATGAACTGTTGCTGTTGAGATTATTGATTGCTGTTTTCCCATTTTTAGGTTCTTGGACTAAGTTGTTTTGGTGATCCCATCTAGCAAGCTCTTTCTTACTTTTCATCTCAGATTTCTTGGGTTCATTTTCAACATTTCTATATCAAGGCAATGTAAACACTTATACTGGAAGTGTAATTGAATTTTTGTTGGAGGTGAGGTGAGAGTCAAGAAATGTTACATGATCGAAATGAATCTACACTTTTTCAAATGAAAATAAAACTGTAAAACCTTCAAAGAATGTTAAATGCTCAAAGAATCATCTTCCTTTCCCCAGAAAAAAAATTTGTCATCAAGAAAATAGCTGGGCATTGTTGACATAGCAAGCAGATGCAGAGTCTTGAAGGCAGCCGCAAAAACCTTCATCATCCTTTGGAAATGAGTTTGGTAGAGGATGGTCTGGAATCACACCAATCTACATGGAGGAATGAGGCAACAAGAGTTATTGAATGAAAGGGAGGCATAGAGATAGGATAGAGATCAGAAATAAACCTTGTCAATATCATTATGAGCAGGTGTCTCATAACGAGCAACAGTAACAGCCAAGCCAGAGCCATCAGATAGCTGAAAAACCGACTGAATCTTGCTGCAGTGTGGAATGCATGCATTACTCCAGTTAGGTTATAGAATATTGGATGGTGCTTGCATACAATGTAGAAGCAGAAGTTATTACCCTTTCCCATATGTTGGTTCTCCAAACAGCACGGCACGCTTATTATCTTTCAATGCACCAGCTAAAATTTCACTTGCACTTGCGGTACCCTTGTTCACCTAATGGAAATTCAGATGATGGAATTCTTTGAAGTTTCAGATCCATCTCTCTCACTCTCTCGGACATGCAGAAACAGACAGACATGATAACAGTAGAAAATAGGAAGGACCTTAAAGCGGATTTCGGAATAAGATACATAATTCATATAACAAGCAGAAGATCCAAGAAATAAGTCTAGGATACTAACAGTTTAAAAATGTTTAATTGCAAGACACAAGATAAATCATTTAAAATTTATGAGGAAAAGTTAAAAGGGAGAGTACGTTGAGGTTGGGATGCAGAAAGAATGAAATAAAGTTCTTCGATTTAAGCTCTAGCACAGTCATGAATGTAAGTCCTATGCATCGACAATAATAAACAAGCATACCAGCACAGCTAAGGGTTCTGAAGCTGCTATTGCAGAGCTTCCATCTGTGTCATATATATCTCGAACACCACGATTATCACAAATATACACAATCACGCCTTTGTCTAGCCTGTTTGAAAGAAACTAATGATGATAACTTGTGCCAAGAAACTTGACATGGATAAAAGAACCTTTCAATTTTGATGGTTTTACTTACCAAATCTTGGCAGTTTCAATTCCTTCTGGGAAAAGCCCACCACTGCAGCAAATTTAACCTTTCAGAAAGCCTGTCTTAAGAGCAAGTTTAAAAAATGGACTTTGTTGAAAGCTAATAACCTATTATCACGAAGGTCCAACACAAAGGCATTAACCCTATTACTCCTTAAAGTATCAATTGCTTCCTTGACAGCAGCTACAAGAAATTTACAAAGAGCAACTTCAAATTTTATCATGTGAATAAATTCCTAAAAAACGGTAGAATGTAGAAATCCATAGCTTCAACTCAAATCTTTGACAAAACAAAGAATATTTTCAGTCAATATTTCAACTTACCAGAAGCCTTTTGGTTGAATGATGTTAGCTTAATATAACCAATTCTGGAGTAGTTCTTTTCTGAACTAGGAACCTCGCATAGTCTTGACTTTACAGGATTCAGAGAAACTTTCTCTCGCCTAAAAAGTAGCAATCGCCAGTCAGTCAAACTTAAATCTTTCACACAATAGGTATAAAAAGAAAGAAAGAAAGAAAAGAAAATGTAAATTCTGTCCTACAGAATTACAAGGAACACAACAGGAAACCACGGAATAAAATGTAAAATTCATATCCCAAATTCTAGCTCACTTCATTGGGAAAACAATAATTACAAGTCACGACGGAGAAACACATTATGGTTGCTGAACCAATTACTATTAACAGTCCTGGGGACATAGTTTTCTTAAGCATTGATTTCAAATACATCATACGAAATTCAAATGAAACACTTAAACGTACGTGAGAGCCAAGTGCTTTATTTCAGGTCCAGTTCGAATTATTAATTCCACTGAAGTTCCTTCTGGTCCCCTGTACTTTTGTCAAAAAGTTGAGCATAACAGTAAATAACTGAAAAGAATGTATAAATTGACACACATACAAACACACACACAAGGGAGATGAATGGAAAGATCTCTATCATAATGACTGCTGCATAGATGTTTCTTCAAAATGAAAAAAAAAAAAAAATGAAAGCTGATATGGCTTCAAGTGACTTATAAATAGACAGTAACATGCTTACTGCAATCTCTCCGCTGCATCATAAATGTCCATGTTTTTTGTGCTTGTGTTATCTATTTCCAAGATAATATCCCCAGATAAAATGCCAGCCCGATTTGCAGGACCTCCAGGAGCAGCTGAAATAACCACAAGCCCAGCTTGTGATCCTTCAGATCCTGCTGGGTAACCTATCGATAGTCCTACACCTGTAAGAGCCCCTTGAGTTCCAGACTGCCTTCAGAGAAAATATTAACACATTTTAGGGAAAATGTTATCAACCAAAACATTTCCGGAGAAAACAACAATATTTCAATGTTCAATAATAGCTACCATGTTATTAAGGCTAGAATGCAGAAAGTGAAGACACGATAAGATACAGCCTCATACCCGCAAACTCTTAAACTTCTCAGGCTCTAGAAACCTAGTGAAAGGATCATTCAGTGTGGCAAGCATCTTTCTTATGGCCTTGTCTGCATAGAAATATGCAAACAGAACTTAGAGTAGATCATGTCACTTATAGAATCATTTTTGATTAACTAATTGTAATGGAGTGATTACAAGGTAATCATTTAACTAATTCTTACCTTCAGGAATAATTCAACACAAATCTAAAATGCAACATGCAGATGAGCATACTATCTCCTAGCATTACTACTACAAAATTGAACGACTGATTAGGTAGACATTTATGAAAATGTTATGAGAGATGAAATAAAAGATTACAAAGTAATCAGCAATAAAGATATGAATATGCAGATTAATCTGGTTGCGGTTTCTCTTTTCTTTTTTTGGTATGTCATTTTGCTTGGGTTACATGTTGCAAACTACCAAACATAAAATGACTGCTAAAAATATTCCATATACATGTCTCTTTTCTATTGTTCATTGGTTCATTTCGAAGTGCAGTTTCTCTGTAGCGAAACCAACTTTGTCCATTGAAAGTTTTGTCAACGTATGCCCGGTCTATAGTTCTCCATGCCTCTAAGAAGAGGAGATTCTCTTCAGAGAGGGCCCCTGTACAACAATAAAAAAGAATTAGTACGAAAATCTAACAAAAGAAACGCCCATTTCATGAGACTATACATAAAATAGAACTTACATGATGGTGTGTTGTTAACAGCAACCGAAACTGAAGTAACCAGCAGCATAGCAGCAACTATGCAAACAAAAACAACAGAGACATTTTGTCTAATTTTTTCAGAATGACTCACATTTTGAAGACTAATTGTATGTTTTCTAAATCTAAGTGGGCATCCACGACTTATAGCAAAGCAACTAGACTGAGATGAAAAGCTTTTACTCAGCCTGCATAATGGGTAAAACAAGAAGTCATGTTTACAAAATGCATCAGAACTGCCACAACTTCCAGACCCATTAAGATTCGTCCTTATACACAACAAACGAGCTTCAACGATCCTTAATGGAAAAAATTTCCCTGGATGCACCTGCTAGTAATCCATTTGAAAAATAAAAACTAAGAATGGTTTCTCATTACAATTATAATGTCCGTACTCACACATTCATTCAGAAAATTCAGTCAGAACATACTTACTTAGAGAGAAAGAGTCAGGTCCTAGAAATGCAAGGCAAGAATAATTTAATGGAAAAAGAAAAGGTCTTTCATACTCTATGCAATTTCTATTGCCTAGATTAACTTTACACTGATGATCATGTGATCAGAGATCTTTCCAAGCAATACAAATCATTAAAAAATAGACAATCAAATAACATAAAGGAGGTAAAAATGCAATACAAGACAATGATATTGCTTAGCAGAGAACTTCAAGTCATGCTCAGTACATTCCCACCATACAAACTAAACAAAATAAGAACAAAACCCCATCAAAAAGAGAAAAAAAATCAGTTTTAAGCCAACCAAAACTACCAAGAAACAGCCAAAGAAATAAACCAAAAAAAAAAAAAATCATTCTAATAATATTCTTCAAGAATCAAGAAAAGCTTTCCAACAGTCCAAGTCATAATCTTTCCATCTCAGCCACTCATTTCTCAACCTATAAACTCTAAAGTATGATAAAAACCTTCAAAATTCTACAGAAAAATCAGTAAAGATTGACTCCTTTTCACAACCCAGAATTCAGCAGCGAAGAGCAAAGTAAACGAAAAAAACAAGATTACCTGAGAAACGATGATGGGCTTGAAGTTAAAGTTGAAAGTAGAGGGTTTCTTGGGGTTAGATAAAGTGAAATGAGGATGAGTAGAAGTTGCAGAAGAGGTTGCAAGGACTTCCATGGACAGCCCCACAAAATTCACTCCCTTTTTTTTTTGCTTTCCTTCCCTTATCGTTAATCTTTTGGAGATCATAAAATGGGCCTAAAATGAATGTTAAAATGAATTGGGCCTAAGTTCATTACATTTTGCGGAATCCATCACAGCTAATATTCCAATTCCTTGACCCACTAAATATTGGGCCCTTTTCCTATAGTTGAAATTTTTTTTTTCTCATGGGAACATGGTAGTTAAAAGCTATCTTTATCATTTAGTGTCGAAAAAAAATATATTTTTTTATTTAATTAAAACTAGTAATTAAACATGTAAAAATAAAATATTAACTTATATATTATACAAAATCTCGAGGTCATGTTTAGTATACAAAATTATAACAGAATAAGATAAGATAATATTATTAATAGTATTAAATTAAATAATATCATCTTATTTTATATTGATATATATAAAAATTATGATAAAATAATTTATTTATTTTCAAAATTAATCTTTTTAAAGTTTATACAATTTAAATTATTGATATAATTTTTAAAGATATAATTGAACATATAAATTTAATCCCATGAATTAAAAATAATACTCTTCACTTGATAAAGATTAAATAATCCTATACCAAAAAAATATTAATCCTCTTTATAATTCTTATCCTTATTTTTAAATACAAATCAAATATGATATAAGATAATTATTATCCTAATCCTATTCACATAAAAGCACAAACTAATGAAGAGATATCTTTCCACCAACCCAACTCATCAAATTATAGTAAGACCCAAATTTAGGTTTGATTTGGATTTAACTTCACCCACACCTCGCAGTTTAGTTTCAAAAAACTTCAGTAAAATTTAAACGTTAAAATTACTGAGGTAAATTTCATCAAATATAGTATAAAATTTTCATTGAACCTGAAAAAGTTTGGTAAAAATTTTTATCAATCACAATTACAATAATAATTATTATTATTTTTAATTTATTGGAATTAATCTTATCGTGAGTTCATCGAAATAAGTTTTTAATGGTTTTTTTTTTTTTTTTTGTTGTAAAAGAGGGCTAGTGCTCTTATAAGGGGAGGGGGGATGGTGGGATAGAACCCACGCCTTAGATAACTTTTAACTGACTTCTTCTTGACCACTAGGTTATGAGGGAAAAGTCTTTTAATGGTGCAAAAGCCAACCATACTCTATGCAATTTCCATTGCCTAGATTAACTTTACACTGATGATCATGTGATCAGAGATCTTTCCAAGCAATACAAATCATGAAAAATTAGACCATCAGATAACATAAAGGAGGTAAAAATGCAATACAAGTCAATGACATTGCTTAGCAGATAACTTCAACTCGTACTCCCTAAATTCCAACCATACAAACTAAACACAATAAGAACAAAACCCATCAAAAGAAAAAAAAAACTCAGTTTAAAACCAACTCAAAACTACAAGAAACAGCCAAAGAAATAACAAAAAAATCATTCTAATGATATTCTTCAAGAATCAAGAAAAACTTTCCAACAGTCCAAGTCATAATCTTTCCATCTCAGCCACTCATTTCTCATCTTATGAACTATAAAGTACGATAAAAAGCATTAAATCATTCCCATGAAAACCTTCAAAATTATACAGAAAATCAGTAAAGATAAGACATACTTTTTACAACCCAAAATTCAGCAGTGAAGAGCAGAGTAAACGCAAGAAACAAGATTACCCGAGAAACGATGATAGGCTTCAAGTTGAAGGTGAAAGTAGAGGATTTCTTGGGGTTAGATAAAGTGAAATGAGGATGTGTAGAAGTTGCAGAAGAGCTTGCAAGGACTTCCATGGACAGCCCTACAAAATTCACTTCCTTTCTTTGCTTTTCATTTCTGTTCCTTATCCTTAACCTTTTGGAGATCATAAAATGGGCCGGAATGAGTATTAAAGATGAATTGGGCCTAGATTATTACATTTTGCACAATCCACCACAGCTAATATTGCAATTCCTTGACCCACTAAATATTGGGCCTTTTTACTATCGTTGAGATTTTTTTTTTTTTATCACAGGAAGATGGTAGTTAAAAGCTAGCTTTATCATTTAGTTTCGAAAAATAAAATTTTATTTAATTAAAACGTAGTAATTACAACATGTAAAAATAAAAATTAACTTATATATTTTGCAAAATCTTGAGTGCATTAGGCAATATTCAAGTTAATTTATGGAGTAAAATTTAAAATATATCTAATGTCTAGACTACTGTAAAAAATATATTTTTAAAATTGTTTGATAGAAATTTTTATCAACTATAATTACAGTAATTATTATATATTTTTTAATTTTATTAAAATTAATCTTACCGTCCATCAAAATGAATCTTTTATGTTTTATAATATCAATGGTGAAAAAACCAACCATACTTTGGGAGGAGCAATTGACCAAAATTTCAATTCATAATTTTTTACTATTTGATAGTCCTTGAATGCCATAATAGTTCCTGAAATAAAGATTTTTTAATAATGTTGATTCTAACCCCTAAAGAAAACTCTAAGAACTTTTAGATTTTACCAACAGTCGGTGTTAACAATAGTGAAAAATCATTGCCAATAGCTCATAATTATCAATAAATAATTGATTCAATCGGTTAAAATTATTTTTTAACGAAAATATTTTAGATTTGAATACTATCAGTGATTATTTATTGAGATCATTTCAAATACACGATCTACAATCACATATTTTAAGTTATCATATACGATACATCTTATCTTAATTTAAAAAATTAAATAATTTATTTACCTCAAATTTTTTTTTTATTAAAAACAAAAAAAGCTCAAATTTTGCATCTTCATAAAAAAAAAAAAAAAAGAAAATTGGTGGAGGATATTTCAACTACAGGAAAGATTACAAACTAATATAGTTAAAGCTAGCATGATTACTTTTTCTTCAATCCAAAAGCATGAAATTGAGAGCCCATTATCAATTAAGTGCGCCTCAAAGCTATATCTTTTTCATGTAAAGATAGCAACCTTGTTTCATTTTAAAGTTTGAATCAATTTTAGTAGTTGATGTTAAATTTTGGCTAACATTAAACTTGATTTCAAAGCCAAAGACCCTTCAACTTTTAATGACATAATAGAACACGTTGGAAAAGTGTAAGGAAATGGATTTAAGAATAGCCTATCCTGCCTTGTTGAGTCTAGGCTTTTACACTCATATCTCTCATTTTTTTCCATATTATCCATTAATTGAAAATTTTTCAAGTTTTTCTAATCTACAAAAACAGTTGATTTCAATGGTTGTCTGTTCAAATTTTGAATTTTTAATTTCTATGATCAAATTTTAATTTGAGATATAAAAAAATTATAAATTTAAGTAGTTTTTGACTTAAAAAATGATCCCATGAGTTTGGATTGAATAAAACCAAAAAGTTTACTTTTCTGGGTTACAACCAAAAGTATTAATGCACATTTTTATTATTTATTGTTCTATTTGTGAAATTATGAAGTGTGAATGCTACATTTTCTTTTCCTGGCTAGACCTTATCATGAATCAATGATCATGTGACAAAAATGCAAATTAGTAGTTCTTTTTCACTTTGGGTTTGTTTAAAAGAAGGAAAGGAAAATTCTAAATTGTCAAAGTTTTTCCAGTAGTTTATTGGGTCAACAAAAGATTTCCAAGTCCTCTTTAACGCCATTGATGACAATGATACGTACCAAACCAAACCACTTACCTCACCTGTTTGCTTTTGCTTTAGGTGTAAGCCTGAACTGTTGACCAGCAAGCCTTCTTGGACTGTGAATAGGAGCGTTTACCAATCAAATTCCCACCGGTTTTCAAGTCTTCTTTTATTCTTTTCGATTTTAAAAAGTTTCTTCCACTACGATTTTCATGGTGCTTAGAATCATTGATGAGGGAAGGATAAAACATGTAGTTGCTGATTGATTGTGTATCTGATATTGTTCTTGAGATCAGCTTGTGGACAGCAAATGAATTGGTGAAGATACTCATTTCTATTCTCTTCATAATGATATCATCAGCTAAAAAGTTAACGAGAGGAATACCAGCTAGGAGAGACAATGAGCAGACAATGGTGTTTTTCTATGTTTTTCAGTCCGACCCGTCTTCATTTTTTATGCTTACTAAAAATAAAAATAATAAAAATAATCTAATTCAAAATTTTAATAAAAATTATATATAAATTTTTTTTAAATAAAAAATTCAGGGACTTTTCCAAGCCTTGAGGACTCAATTTTCAACACCGGTGCATCAAATGTTTTTTCTTTTCACTGCCGAGCTTTGAATCCTGGGGACACTGACAGAAGACAACTGATTATCAACCTGCTGCTGGGGCCAGCTTCACATTGGAAGCACTGCTATCATCCTCTGAACCTGAAGGCCTCTGGGTTGATACCTCCGAAATTAATTTGTACAAATCAGCCTGTTGCTAGTAATAAGACAAAAAATTGACTTTTGTGTTAATTACTTTGTCCTGTTCCTATCGCCATTTCGCCAATGTGAAAGAGCAACTAGCTTGATCTGAGTAGATAAGAAGATGAGTGGTGTTGGATTTAGTTCATTGACCTTTCTCAGGATGACTGTACACTCCGGAGGAGTGGCTTTGAATGTTTCCTTGTTAAAGTTAACCCGTTTATGGAAACAAAATCCCCTTGTCCGAAGAGGATATTGGTAAATTATTGTGATGAATACCAGAAAAAAAAATTATGGATCGACCAGCTCCAAATTTCTAGCTTGGCAATTCACAAGATTCTCTCCTCACAAGCATGGTGTCCCATGAGAATGGTCACATGCTCGATAGTGAAATCCAACTTCCCCGCATTGATGTGCAAAAAGAAAAAACGGTGATTACTTGTTTTTTCATCTAATTACTTGGAAGAAAAAGCAACGCAGCCAATAATCTTTGGCGATTCACTGACCATATCTTTTCCAATGAAAAAAGGTATTGAAAAGTAAAACAAATGCATTCCAGGATAGATTCAACTATCTGCCAAAGACTCGACCCACCACCAAAACCAATATCAATATTCTAATATGGCGTGCTCCACTTTCTGTGTAACATGAATAAGACAAAAGCATTCCCTCGCATTATCTCCAATAAGAACCAGCCACCTACCAGCATGGTTATCTTACACAAACTCTAGAAAGATATTTTTAAATACAGGAGCCATCTTTTTTTAAGGGAAAGGAAGAAGAGAAGAAGTATCAAGTCGTAGGATAATCTAAAGTAAAAATAAAAAATAGAAATTAAAGGAAAAAAAAGAGGGAAACAGAAGATTTTTAGACTGAAGGAGGAGTTGGGTGACTTTCAATTTTCTTCATCTGAATCCCTTGGTTGTGTGTTTCATCTTCATCATGGTAAACATAAGCAAGCCCACCATGCCTTGTCAAATCCATACCAGCCATTTCGTCATCAGCTGAGATCCTCAGGAGACCAAATCTATGAAGAAAATAGAACAAAGTCCCCATTGTAGCACTCACCCACCCAACAATTACCAAAATCTGGATGATTTGAGCAGCAAAGAGCCTTCCTCCACCTCCCCTAAACAAACCATATCGAACAGGCCTGGTGGGATAAACTTCCCTGACATACTTTTCAGAAGCAAACAAACCTGTGAAAAGCACTCCCCAAGCACCACATCCACCATGCAATTGAGCAGCCTCTAAAGGATCATCAAACTTGACTTTCTCAGCCAACTTGTTGCATCCAATCAAAACTAAAGCAGCCACGAACCCACAAATAACAGCAGCCCAGGGTTCAACTACAGAGCACCCTGAAGTGATAGCAGCCAAGCCACCAAGCAAACCATTACAAACATCAGTGACATTCCAATGACCTGTTAAAATCCTTTTCGTGAAAAGGGTAGTCAACGCCGCCGTGCATCCAGCTAAGGTGGTGGTCACCGCCGTTCTTCCCACAGCACTCCACTGCCCATAATAGCTCCCAGAAGTGTAAATACTCGAGATTTTGTTAAATGAACCGGGGTTGAACCCATACCAACCGAACCAAAGCATGAAAGTTCCAAGAACAACAAGGGTCGCACTATGACCACGCAAGGCAACTGATCTACCCGAATGGTCGAACCGGCCAATTCTTGGTCCTTCAATAAGTGCACCCCATAAACCGGCTACACCACCAACTATATGAACAACCCCTGAACCAGCAAAGTCAATAACCCCACTACCAAAGAGGAAGTCATCGGCTCGAAAAGAACTGGCCCAGCCATCAGCCGACCAAAACCAATGAGAAACAACAGGGTAAACAAAACCAGTTAAGAAAGACGAATATATCAGATAAGCAACGAATTGGGTTCTTTCAGCTATGGAGCCACTGGTGATCCCAGCAGCTGCAATAGCAAAAGCCCACTGATAAAGGAAGTTGCTGTAATCAAACAAAGAAGAAGGAATAGATCTTAAGACGAAGTTGTGGCGACCAATGAAGCCATTAGAAGGGGAACCAAAGGCAAAGGCAAAGCCGAAAAGGTAGTAAAAGAGGCCACCAGTAGCAGCGTCGAGGACATTGGTAAGCATGATGTTCATGGTGTTTTTGGAACGGACTGAACCAGCACAAAGCATGGCAAAGCCAAGTTGCATGGCGAAAACAAGGTAGGCAGAGAAGAGAAGGTAAGTGTTGTCAACAGCAAAAGAAGCATCAGTGAACTTGTTGCATATGTAGTCGGCTGCGGCGGTGGCGTTGGGGCCTAAAAGCGGCGCTAGGTCCGCTGAACAAGTAGCCATGGCCTAAAAAAACCCCCAAGAAACGAAGTAAATGAGAGGAAATAAGAGGAAAGGAAAGACAGTTACAGGCAGAACCAAGAAGAGCAGAAGATGTTTATATAGATAGATGACTTTGGGAAAAAGGAAGATTTTTCATTCACAGTTTTTTGTGGTTCGGGCCCAGGGTCTTTTGCTTTTGGTTTTATTTAGATTTCTATAAAATATATAATAATTATTATAATAGTCCTATTTTATTTTATTTTATTTTCATAAATATAGGACCATATAAAATATTCTTTTTTTTTTTGGTTTATTGAATAATTTGTGTGGACTTGTTTAATGTGAGAATTTGTTTTGAGTATAAAATTTTAAAATAAAAAATAAAAGAAAAGAAGAATTGGAGCTTATAGGGAAATTTATTTAGGCAGTAAAATCCTATCATTTTATAGTAGTTTTTCAAGAATTGAAGATTTATATTATATTTTGGGTAAATGCCAGACATATTTTCCTTTCATTGCAAGTGATTGCCAAATTTAGAAGGTTAATTCTAATTTATTTTTAGTTTTAATTTTGAGTGGTTGTTTATGGTATTGGCAAAACATTCTATGACTTTTGTACTAAAGAAAAATCTGAATTTTTTTTTTGTTCAACAAAAAAAAAAACTATAATAAAATGGTGTACACCTTTTACAATTTGCAGGGTTGGGAGTTGGGAAATTAATCAATAAGTAAATTCCTTTTAGATGGTAGGTAAGGTTTAAAGATGGATAATTGACTCATTTTCTCATATATATATATATATATAACTTTAAAATTATATTCAATAATCATTTAAGTTTAATATTTTATTACAATTAATTAAATTATTAATTTTTTATTTTAATTCAATTAAATTTTTAAATGAACAAAATCTAATAATTTGATAAAATTTAATCAATTAATTCTCGAATTATAATTAATTAATTTCTTAAAAAATATCTAATAATATTTTTTAAAATCCGTTTGTAAAATTTAATTTTACAAGAAATGGTGTATTAAATAATTTTTTATTTTTTATTATTATGTTACTAAATTTGTATACATTTTGTTGGATGTTTAGAATAGAATTGTAAAATTAAAATATACTTCTTAGATCAAGAAAATTACACAAAAAGGAAGAAAGCTAAAGGGTTGCTTTCTCACATATTTTCCTTGATTGACTAAAATGGATGAAAGAGATGCTAGAAAATTTTAAAACCTCTCAATAACTCTTGTGGTGGTAATTTTAGGATGTTAAATATTGACCCTAATAATGGCTAAATGCAACATCCATATCCCTTGAAAGAGAAAAACAATTATCTCAATTTCTCCTTATAAACCACCGTGACTGACCGTTATGGTAGGATTGCTTATTAAAGTATTGTTTGTTGCAATAAAATTATGCAAATTATTAAAATTAAAGATTTAATAATTACTAACGGATTATACAATTATTGACAATGACATATTTTCTAAAATTGATTATTATAGGATTAATGCCACATGGAATGTGACATAGTTGGACAGTCCAGTACGGTAGGAGGGCAACTCTTGCAAAGCATATCTTAATATAATATTGGTACTGATTTTTTGATATATTTTTTTATTAAGTAATTGATTCAATTGATTAAGATTTATTTTTTTTGATAAAAAAATTTTGAATTCGAATTCTGTCGATGATAATTTATTGAGATTATTTTAAATATATAACTTATAATCACTTATTTTAAACTGTCAAATATGATATATCTTAATAATTCATTTATCTCAAAATTTTTCTACTAATATATATATATATATAAATGAGAGTTGATGCAAGCATTAAGGTTTAATATCAACTTTGGCACCAAGATTTAGCATCAACTTGTAATATATTTAAAGAATATTTTATATTAGATTTTCCCTAAAACCAAAAAAAATAAAAATTATGATCTTTTTACCTCTTTAAATAAAGAGTATTTGTTGGCATGACATTTAAATTACACAATCAAATTGTATTTTTTGTACTGATTATCTATGATTTTTATTCATTGAAATTAAAATTTTATCATGCCTGATTTTATAATTGTTAATCAAATTATAATTTTATATTTGCCCGAATCTAATGGATAAGATAAATTGAAAATGTATTTTATAAATATATAATTCTTTTGAATATATTAATTATTTTTTTATTTTAGGATCAGATTTTTTCAACAATTTATAATTTCTAATAAGCCTTTTAAAAGGATTCGAATTCAAAGATTACTGAGATTAATTTTTATTATTAAAATTAAAATTTTAATATTTTATTAAAAAATTATATAACTGTTGATCAATTAAAGTATTAATTTATTCCTCATCTAATACTCGATTAATGAGGGATTAAAGCATTCAAATTTGACCGTTGAACCGTACAATGACAGCCAAATAGCTGACCAATGACAAAGAACGGTAATTAAATTCAAAATTTCCATGAATAATCAAATCAACCAAGCTAATACTTTGGATTTCTCCAGGCCACGTCATGTTGGCGTACACAAAACAAGATACGGAATTTCTTATTGCCCCCGTTGAATTTTCTACGGCTACACAAATGATAATTAAATAATCAAATTGTTGCTTATTGCAATCTCAAAAGTAGGGCATTGACATGAACCATGAATTTTTTTCATCGTATGAAAATGAAATTTATCTCTATTTTTTTTTATAATGCTATTGAAATATTTTCATAAAAATCGAATCATGATTGACAAAAAAAATATTTATTTTATTACCAACTCAACTAATTTGGTAGATATTTACGTGTGATTTGTGGCCTTAATAAATATTATCTATTAAATTCAGAATATATTATTGAAAAAGAATATTCTAAAAAAGAAGTTGAAATCTTGCACGAAATATGTATGAAGAAATGACAATGGTCCATCGTCATGCTTGGTTTTATTTTATGAAAGTCAATGATTCAGTTATGACGAAATTAAATCCCTCTCCTGAGATTTAAGCTATTTGAAAATTAATTCAAAGTCAACCAATCATAAAAATCTACAATATTGAAATTCAGGATGCAGGATATCCAGCTAAAAGCATGCACTAATGAAATGGATTCACATTCAAGTTTGAAAAAAAAAAAATGAAAAAGCAATGAATGTCAACTGGATAACACAGACACCAAATCTGGGTCCCTGATGAACACCCAGATTCCATAGCTGGACGATCTGGTTTTTCACGTTCATATGGATCTTAACATGACAATATCAAAGTAAACTCAAGCACCCAATGAGATCTTGAAAGTGCCATTTTCATATTATCAATGTGCATGCAAGGAAGATGTTAATGCAAGCAAGATCTATTGAATATTTCAAAACTTTCGTCTTTAAGACTAAATGTTGCTTCGACTCTTCACATATCCAATGTACATTGGTATGATACTCTCCAAATATATGAAAAAGTTTGAAAAATTTGTGCGTAATCATGTCAGACACATACCCATATCCGACAACCATTGCAGGTTAATAAATATAGGCAGAGCAACGAGAATAACTTTCGCTGTTATGATATTGAATGAATATTCGGGTGGAGCCAACTTCAACTTGCTGCTAAAGGAAATAAACCGGATTGGGAAATAGGAGAGCCTAGGATAAGTCATCTAGTTACTGTCTCCCTTCGAATTTTTTCTTCTGCTTTCTACGTTGGTCACGCAAACCTAGAGCAGAAATAACAAAGAAGCTTAGAACATTCCCTTAAAAGAGAAGTGTGCTGAGTGAATATAGACGAAAGACAAGGAATGAATATTACGTTTCTTCTCCTCCTTTCTCTTTTTCCTCAAACTCTCCACATTTCTTCGTTTTTCTGCCATCTCTTTTACACCCATGTGCACCTGAGGAAGAGAGAGAGAGAGTTCATCCTTAGACTAAATATGGACCAGCTATATTTACTCAATCATAAACTTGATAAACAATTGAACACAACAGCATGCTTGTAGGTAATTCATTATCATCCTAATTAATTGGACTGGACTGGATCTTTGCATCTATCATGGTTTCAAACATGTGAAAAACATGTCAGGGGCTAGATATGATGGATTCCCATGTCAGCCATTTGATTTGCACATAGGCGTGAACATAAATCCACTCTGTTAACAGAAGGTTTCCAAGCTTCCATCGAAAGAACAAAATTAGGTAAATAAGTGTAAATTAAACATTCAATTTACTACCTCATGACCAGCATTTCGAAGTGCCTGGAGTGGTTCCACACAATCTTGACCAATAACCACCAACTTCCTTTTCTTGTTTTCACCTGAACCCAAGTTGCCACCTCCATTTTGCTTAGCCAATTCTTCAAATTGATGTTGTAAAAGATGAGTAACACCAGCCTGGAAAAAGAGTAATATAAGCAGATGAAATTGAATACAATTAGTTGTCTAATCCAATCATAATTTAGAAGAAAATGCATTCGGAAAGTGAATTCCACCATGATGTTTTTACTGAAACTTCCAATTAGTAACCAACTAAAGTGTGCACATTGGAACAGCAAAACTCAAGAGATCAGAAAGGCTCTTGCAAAATTATTTAGGAAATAAAGACCAGAAAAAAACTCACTGCAGCTGGATAGCGATGCGAAAATGTTTTTGGACGCAATGGTTGTGAAAGCAACGAATTGAGCTCCTGCACCAAAAAAAAAAAAAAGAAAAATAAGGGGTGAAGTCAGGCATCAAAAAAAGAAACAAGGTGAAGTCATAAAGTAAAGTGCATTTCATGGAATGAATTCCAAAGAAAGATTATTTATCGATTATCGAAGTGCTTTAACAGTAACAGTTCAAAGGTTTAGTACAATAATTATTTATTCATAGCAAGTTAGAACCTGCTGTAACTTCTTTAAGTGAATGGAGCTGGCTTTCTTTTGCTTGAAAATTTTCACTCTTTCCTCCTCACTGTCATAATTCTCCACTACTAATTCTAAAGATTCGGCACTCCGTTCCAACCAGCTTTTGTTTGCCCTTTCCTACAGCAAACAAAATAAGTTTGAGAATGACCAACAAAAAGTAAAATTAAAATGGGAAAAGTACCAATTCAAAGAGAACTAAACCAAGGAATAGGAAATAGAAAGAAGAGAAAAAGAAAGAAATAAGCAAACATCCAGCTACAAACATTTCAAGAAAGACATTATCCAGGCAGATACA